CTGGGGAATGAGGCAGTCCCTACGATGGAGGGATTGGGGAACAAGGCAGTCCTGATGATGGTGAACAGCCTGCCCCCATCTCTTTCCCAATCATGATGTTAAAATGAAAATAAATGAAACAAAAATTGTCTTTGTGGGAAAATTAAATCAAAATAAAAAATCATTTATTTTTAAATTTTGTTTGATTTGAAATTATTGACTAATTAAAAACTGAAAGTAAGAATAAGATAATATTTTGAATAATTAGTTCTCCAAGCTTTCAAGGATGGCGTGAGTAACAAAGATGGTTAGGCCACTTTCGTATCTTTGATTTAAATGTGGGACAAATGAGAGGAGCTGGGAGTAAGAGATAATTATGGCTCAGTGTGGAGATAGAGCAGGGTGGAGCTTTTGGTAATTTCCTGCATATATGTCAATAATGGTTTGGGATATAGGTTGATGGAATTGGAAAGGTGATTGAGGATGCTTATTTAAGATGACGCCAAGAATTCAATTTATTACTCCAGAGCTCTGAGCTGATGTTGCCCAGCTGTGTGTTCAAGCCATTGAAAACGTAACCTTTGCACTGTTGATCAAGAACCCTGCACAGCAAACAAATCGCACAGGAAGAGCATGCAGAAATTAGCTACTTGGTGATACAGTACTCAAGTATTATTGAGAAAGGGACATGCTGTCAAAGCTTATCATCATGTAGTCATCAGGACAGGGTTTCAAGAATATAAAATCTCAATGGACATAACAATTTATACTGCATGAGAAGAGGGTACTGATCGGTTAGGCAGTAGACATGATTGGTCAGGGTGTTGACATGGAGAATACACAGGGAAGAGTTAACTGCCAAACCTTTATATAAATACAACCAGGCAAGTCAACTGTGATTGGACAAAGCCTTGCCACAGGGGATGTACCAGGGAATGGTTATCTCCAGGACTTTGTCCATTTGGAAAAGATGCAATGTGTGGTCATTGTTCTTTCTGTTTGCCAATGACAGAGCATGTATGTTAATATTTGTAAGTGAATCTTACTGCAAGTCCAGCCAATTCCCTTAATTTGGCTGTTAGTGTAATTCTTATCACTGTCAGGATTGTTTAGTAAATGTTGTCCAGTTGTAGATTCGCATCTAATGTTGGGTGCTGTGTTCTGAGTTTTGCTAGCACCAGTTGGTTAAGTACAGCCAGCACTCTGCTGTTGCGATTAGCTGAAGGGACATGTTTGATGCAATACACCAGTCATTGGGGCATACGGCCAACATAACAGACACCGCACCAGCACTGAAATTCATATACTATGTAGTGACAGGGAGAATAGCTTTCTGGCTTGGTAGCAGCATCCTGTTAGTGGTGAGCACCACTCAAATTGCTGGTACAGCGTAGCAGCACGAAACAGCTAGCTTCTCATTGCTGAAACTTTTGAGATACCTTCCCCTTCTGGGGTAATCTGAAATAGACAGGACACCGTTCAGATTTAAAATGGCAACTTTGAGCCCATACGTTTGTTTGAAATTATCTGATCAGTGTAGCCATTATCCTGCAGAATAGCTTTGATGCACTGAGGTTCCACATTGAGCTTGCACAGTGAACAAATGTATGAGATTGCTACCAAGGCCAATCCTGCAGCACATGTAACAGGAGGAATCCTAATGCAGATATTGACCAGTGAAGGAGGATTTGCAACCAATAACAGTAGAGAACAATCAGCAGAATTTGCATCCAGCATGTCAAGGAAAAGAAGCTGTGAATTTGAGCACAGGATGGAGCACACAAAGCTGGTAAGAAAATTCAAACCTACAGCAGCATATTCAAATGTATCAAAGGTATCATTTACATTTTGAAAGTATGAATGGGGAAGGAGATTAGGGGTCATTCCATTTGTGCTGTGTTTCTTGTTGAAACTGATAAAGAGATTAGTGAGAGATGGACTTAGGATCCCACAGCAGTGCCAGTTATTTGGGTCAAAGCCAAGTACCGTGGGTGTTGGCAATCTGCAATTAAAACAAACAGTGCTGGAGAAACCCAATGAAAACAATCATTGGACTCAAAGTGTTCACTCTGTTTCTCTCTAAATCAGAAGCAGCCACGGCTGCTGAGTTTCTGTAGCACCTTTTTGTTCATAATCCATGTATTGTGCACAGGAACATTGTGGGTTAATCCCAGTACTGGCAGGAACCCACAGGTTACAGGAGGGATAGTTTCCTCCATGATTTTGGTTTTACTCTGAAACCACATGGTAAAAGAGGTGAAGATTGTGTAGTCTGACCAACCTGGGGAGCTAATGAGCAGACTGACTAGTGAGGTGCTGGAGAGGTCAGGGCTGGGGACCCAGCTGTTCACATTCTATAGCAAGGATTTGGATGTGGAGATTAAATGTAATATTTCCAAGTTTGTAGATGTCACAGGACGAGGTGAACATGTGAGTTGTTAGGAGGGTCCAAAGATACTTCAAGGGGATGTGGAGAGGATAAATGAGAGTGTGTAAAAAAAAAATAAATAAATAAATTGGCAAATGGAATGTAGAGAAATGTGAACTTATTCATTTTGATAAAAGCAGAAATAAAGAGTTTTTAATTGATAAGAAGCTGGGAAGTTTTGAACTTCAACGGGACTTGGGTGCCTTTGTTCATGAGTCACTGAAGGTTAACCTGTAGATACAGCAAGGAGTTAAGTTGGTAAATGGCATGTTGACCTTTTATTACGAGAGGTTTTGATTATGGGACTGAAAATGTCACACTGCTGATATGTAGAGCCTTGCTGAGACTGCTCTTAGAGTATTGTAAGCATATTTGGTCTCCTTCCCCAAATAAAGACATACTTGTTAGAGAGGGTGTGCAATGAAGGTTCATCAGTCCAATTCCTGGGATGGAGGAATGGTCCAATGAGGAAATGTTCAACAGACTGGGCTTTTAGTGTCTGGACTTTGGAAGAACGAGAGATGATCTCATCAACTATGCAATATATTTACAGGGTCCAACAGGGTCGATGGAGGAAGGATGTTTCCTCTGACTTGGCTGGGATGGGTGTGAGGACTAGAGCACAGGAACACAGTCTCAGACTGAGATGAGGAATGTCTTTATTGAGAGGCTGGTGAAACTTTAGAATTCTCTATTCCAGAGGTTGTGGAAGCGCAGTCATTGAGCACATTCAAGACTGAGATTGCTATGTTTCTACAAATTAAAAACATCAAGGAATCTGTGGATAGTGCAGGAAAATGGTGTTGAAAGAGAAGATCAACCACAATCTAGTGGTGAAGAAGGTGTTTTACACACTTGCCTTCA